CAACCAAGATTACAGATTTCTAGATCCAACCGATCGATGGATAATCGTTACCTAATGCAAATCTATTTTTCGAAAAATGTCGTCTGTGGGATTCGAACTCTAGACCTGCCGCTTGGTGGGGTGACGACTAGACCACTTCACTAGGCCGCCACACCCCTAATGATAATAAATAGTTTCAATAACAATTTATTTATTCACATATTGAATTTTTTGGTCAAATTGAGTTTGGTTTATTATATTAGAAATATCAATTTGCTACATTTTACGCGTATCTATCTATTTCTAAATATCTGATATGTAATAAATTCTTTTTTATTAGTTTGTATGCTTTTTTATGTCGTTTTTTTATAGTATAAATATTTCAAATTGATTGGTTAATTTATTATGAAAAATCAACAAAAATTAACCAATCATATGAATGTCTTCCTATGAATAAGTTTCCCCTAACTTGTTAAAGATGTAATAAGTTTTTTTCCCTAAGCCCCTTTTTGAAGTCGTTAAGTTAACAGAAGCTATAAAAGCACTGAGATTTTGCTCATGTAAAAGGATATCCTACGGGATTCCAATAATTCCTTCATAATACATTTAATAAGATCACCCTAATAAATCCTTTTAATAAATTAAATTATTGCCAAATCACCGACGTCACGTCTCTGGCGAGCTGTCTTATCACATAAATTCTATATTTTCTTGTATAAACTGATTAAACATACGATTCACCCCGTAACAACGCTCAACAGTATGATTATTTTTATTAATAAATAATTTTTAATCGGTTTAATTTCGAAATTTCTATTTCCACTTAAGTCGATTTAAGATTCCAAATCCAATTAAGTGCATTCGGTATCACTTAAGTGGTTCGGAATCTACAGGATTCCGAATCCACCTACAACATATCTATATAAAAATAAATTAGTTATTTCTCAAAAATGACTAAGGTAATCAGTATATTAAGTAAAAATGTTCAGCAGGCCAGAAAGCCCTCCCCATCCCTGGTTTAAACTTTAAAATCTATTTCTAGTTTTAATATTTGTTATAAATTTTTTGATATTTTACATGATATATGTGTAGATTTATATAAATAGCTATGTAAATCTACATTGGATTTATAAAGCTTCATAAAAATTTTACATAAGGCCCTCCATGAGTTAGACTCTGGTGTGAACCACAAAATCCTTATTAATTAAATGCGATTTTTTCAAATAGTTTGAATGCTTATTATAAATACAAAGTGTGTATGTACTTTAAATTTTTTCTTTTCATGATGTAACCTCTGGGCGAGTAGACTAAAGATTGGTAGAGTGAAACAGATCTGGGTCCTGTATATGAACTTTTACGGTATGGTTTCAAAATAACGCTCATGCACATCCCGCATCCTACATTAGGGTTTCAACAAAATGACAAACAGATTTGGGAAAAATTATCTTTATTTCAAAAGAACATTCATGCGCGTACTTTAAATAGTACGCATATACTCAAAATATCGCGCAGGGCGTTATTTCGCGAAAATACGGTATTTATATAATTAGGTAGTATAAGTTTTCTAAGTGAAGTTATTGATTATTTGATTTTATTTAAATAGTGAATGTTAACACTTTTCAAGTTCTTAAAAAGTATATACTTCAGTGTATAAATAAGTTACCTGGACAATTGATTTATATCAGCCAATCAAGCGTAAGTCTTACGAAAGAAGAATTTTACATATAATAAGTGGCAATATATTGTTGTAGCCTCTAATGCTGTAATGCTAATGTTCTAACCTTAACACATTTCTTTAGTTCGAAATTAAATTTCCTTTTTGGTGAGAATAGATAATCTAGACCCTTAGATCTTCCAATTCTAATTTAGCCGACGCCCAAAATTGTGCCGTATCTGAACTGTGAAGAGTTAGAACATTCTTAGAACAGGAAGGTTAAATTCTTTCCGACGTAAATTAAAAACAATTGCAGCTAGTACTGTATACTTAATTCATCTCTGCGTGTAACGCACTTTCTCCAATAATAAAAACAAAAAAATTAATATAAATTGACGTTCGATTCGTCATTTATAACCCAATTTAAAAAAAAAAAAAAATCAAAAATGGATTTAAGAATGGATTCAACTATTACAATGAACGATGGAAATAAAATTCCAGTAATAGGTTTGTTATTCCTGTTATTGTGAAGAGTATTATTGCTATAAATACTTATAGCATTTAAATTTGTAAAATTATTTAGGGCTAGGTCTTTGGCAGGCTGAAAGTGGTCAAACTACACAACAAGCAATTTCATGGGCTTTAGAAGTAGGCGGTCAATAATTATACTTAATAGTATATACTGTATATAGTAATAATGATAATAATGTAAATTTTTAACAGGCAGGATATAGGCATTTTGACACAGCAGCTGCGTATGGAAATGAAAAAGATGTTGGAATTGCTATCGCAAATAGGTACGTACGTAAGTTACATCGATAACGATAGAGACAAAATGAAGCCTATTCACATGACTTGCTACTAATTTTAGTAACATTCCTCGAGAAGAAATTTTTGTTACAACAAAGATTTGGAATACTGGTAAGTTCTAGAGTTTATTGCTAATGCTATATAGTGCAAGACAGCATAAATTACATGAACAATTATGATTTGCAAATTTTATATAATCAATTTTGATTGGTCGAATATAAACTGAAGCTTAGAAAAAAAATTTTTAAATCAATTTTTATGTTCTATCGATTTTTTTTGTAAACCATATATAAAAAAGGTGTTTGTTTATGCTGTTCTGCACTGAATTTTATAGTATTTCGCTCAGGTTAATTCGTCTATCTACAAGTTCTAAACTTTGAGCCAACTCATTATCAATCATGTGATAAGCAATGGGCCATACTTACGATAATTTCTCTAAAAAAGCTTCTAAAATATTTCGATAATAATCTGACCAATTTTAGTTAGTCATTTTTGAATTCAGCAAACTCAGAGTTTAGATCATATGACAGGATAAACTTTAACCTGAATAGAGTTTGGAACCGTTCATATGTTAAAACCGATTAAACCCGATTTTAACGTATGAAAATAAAACTGGTTCTAAACTCTAAACCTGAGTGATATTTATCAGAAACGGAAAACGATATTGGTCATTTAAATTGTAACTCGTGTTATGATTCAAATTTTTGCTTGCGATGAAAATATTTTTACTCGAAATACATTACTAAATTATAAAAATTTTTACAGATCAGGGTTATGAGTCAACTCTTAAAGCCGCAGATACTTCATTGAAAAATCTTCAAATTGGATATATTGATTTGCTACTTTTACATTCTCCTTTGCCCGGTCCTCAGAAACGAGCGGAAAGTTATAAAGCTTTACAAGAGTTGGTCAAGAAAGGATTAGTAAAAAGTATTGGAGTTTCAAATTATGGAGTGAAGCATTTACAAGAATTATTAGACAGTAATCCAGAGATTAAACCCGCAGTAAACCAGGTTGAGGTACGTATATAAGGTTGTATAAGGTTAATTATATAATAAAAATATATTTTCAAAGGCATATATATTTTTTTTAAAAAAATGCATTTAGATCCATCCATGGTTAACTCGAAGTGATATTGTGTCTTTTTGCAATGAACATAATATTGTTGTTGAAGCTTATTCACCACTTACTAGAGGACAAAAATTAAATGATCCTATTCTTACTCGTATCGCTAATGAATATGGAAAAACATCAGCACAAATTTTGATCCGATGGGTAAGTCCAAGTTTATACTTGACACTTTAATAATAAAGCATTTTTCTTGTGTGTAATTAGACATATAATTTATTTTCTATTGGCAGGGACTTCAACATAATTTCGTAACATTACCAAAAAGTGTTAAGAAAGAACGTATCATTGAGAATGCGAATATTTTCGATTTTGAAATCAAAAAAAGTGATATGGAAACACTTGATAGTCTGGATGAATACCTTGTTGTTTGTATGTTTATGAATGACATATATATATATTTATTTAGTTTATGATTGATTTTTACTTACTATTAATCTTTGCTTACTAATAATAATTTTTTTTTCATATTTTTAGCTTGGGATCCTACTGTAGCTGAATGAGTTTTTTTTTTTCAAAAAATCTATCATGGATAATATAAATTTTAAATCAAACTTGTAAAGGCCGTGACAGATGTTACTTAATATATTTACTATATATCTACTATATCTCTTTCCCCCATATACTGTAAGATAAAAAAAGAGATTTAACCCCTTCCCCAGAATATTACCTAATATTTTCATTTTAAAATGAGATCATATTTGTATTAAATAGCAATTTATTTAACGGTTTAGATTTATTAGATTTTGATACAATGGAAGAATTA